AATAATTTTACCAAATAAAGAAAATTATATTGCGGAGCCGCACCCAAATGCAGCCTAATAAATCTATTTAATAGATTTCGAACCGACCCCAAGAAATTTTACTTCTTCTGACTCTATATGAACCCCCTCCCTCCCTCCCCACCTTGCCGAAAAACTTCATCCCTCATCTTCTTCCTCAACAAGAGCACCATTTTCTCAAATGACCAAATTCTCATCACTTCCCCCCCTCCTCCTCTTCCTCCTCCTCTCCTTCCTCTCCCCTGGTTCGTCTCGCATTACCTTCTCCCCATTCCACCCCATGATTTCTTCTTTAATTTCTGCTCTGCTCTAACCTCCATTCAAATTACAGGTTCAAAGGCGGCTTCTTTCACCCTCACAAACAACTGCGGCTACACCGTATGGCCCGGCATCCTCTCCGGCGCCGGCACTCCGCCGCTATCCATCACCGGCTTCGTCCTCAACTCCGGTCAATCTCGCTCCCTCGACATCCCTCCCTCCTGGTCCGGCCGTCTCTGGGGCCGCACCTACTGCTCCACCAACGAATCAACCTCCTCCTTCTCCTGCCTCACCGGCGACTGCAACTCCGGCCAACTCGAGTGCTCCGGCAGTGGCGCCTCCCCTCCCGCCACCCTCGCTGAATTCACCCTCGACGGCAGCGGAGCCAGGGATTTCTTCGACGTCAGTCTCGTCGACGGCTATAATCTCCCCATTCTCGTCTCTCCGATCTCCGCCGTATCTTCCTCCGGCTACAATTGCACGTCTACCGGCTGCCTCGTCGACCTCAATGGACTCTGCCCCTCGAATCTGAAAGTCGACTCCGGCGGGCGGAGCGTGGCCTGCAAGAGCGCCTGCGAAGCCTTCGGGAAGCCGGAGTTCTGCTGCAGCGGAGCTTATGGAAGTCCGAACACCTGCAAACCATCTTCTTACTCTCAGATCTTTAAGAACGCTTGCCCGCGAGCTTACAGCTACGCTTATGACGATGCTACCTCTACTTTCACTTGCCCCACCGGCGTAAACTACATCATCACTTTCTGCCCCAATACCTCGAGGTATTGCATAAAAGTTAAAAAACTTATATTTTTGCACAGATTTTTAATTCAAAAAGCAAATTTTTGTTCAGATTTGGGGATTTTTAAGCTTCTGGTTTTGTTATTTGGTTGCAGCCAGAAAGCAGGGGAGAACGATCCGCGGGCAGCTGCGGTACCGCTGATCAACGATACGATGGTGTTCTTGGGTCCGGCGAGCGGCGGCGCGATGGCGAATACGAGGCGTTTCGCCGCGTTGGCGTTGGCCACCGCTTTATCGGCGTTTTGGGTGCAGTT